AGAGCCCACACTGTACTGAGAGCCGCGCATTCCTTGTGACAGCCGCTGTTTGAGTCAGTGAGAGGCAGCCCCGGAGCCTCCGTGCCCATTCAATGAAAGCCCAGCCTGCACGGCATCAGAGGAGCCCCGGGGACCACCAACATTTTCTCTTGGACCACTGCCACCGGTTGGCGACTGCTGACTTAGTGCATACACACCAGAAAAAAAATATTTACTAACATAGATGTTTTTCAAAAACAGCAATTAAAAAAGAAGTGACTTATATAAGAGAACACATTCTCTTTCATAATTCTCTTTTCACATTCTGGAGTGTTGTTTTGCTTGGTTAACACCTGGTTTAAACTTTTGTTAAAAGAGAACTATGACAAGTGGCGGGACTACCACCATAGCGACCAATGCGGTTGCTATGGGGCCCGCGGAACTGGGGGGCTAGGATCCCCGCTGCTCTCCTCCGCTTGTATGGGCTGAGGCAACGGGTATCCGGAAAAAAAATGGACGGCGGAGGAGCCGCTGCTGTCCTGAAACTGACAGGAGGACAGCGGCTCCGCTCTCCTCCCCGCCTGCCGCTCTATCATCGTGATTGAGCAGCAGGCGGGGAGGAGAGCGGAGCCGCTGTCCTCCTGTCAGTTTCAGGATGACAGCGACTGTGTGCGAGGTTGAGCGGAGGATCGGTAAGTATCATTGATATTTACCGATTCTCCGTGTGCAGCACAAACACTGGAGTGATCGTCAGTGTTTGTAAATAACTGGGGACACATAGTACTATGTGTCCCCAGTAAAATATCTTAGTAAATATCTTACTATCTGCAGTTTGTGAATGATTGGGAAGACTGTACTGAGTGCTTCCCATTCACTGAGACCTGAGGCTGCAGAGAAAGAGATTGAGGACTCTGTGTCCTCAATGTTTTTTTCTATTTTAAAAGGGAAATGTCGGGGGTCTGTTTAGACCCCTAATATTTCCCCGAAGCCCCACCAACAGTAAAATAATAATAAATAAGAATTAAAAAATAAATTAAAAAGGTGTAAATAATAAAAAAAAGCACAAACCCCCCTCCCCCACACACACCTAACATACACGTGCACCATATTGTGGTGAACGCCAGGCAAATGCGCTGCAGTGCGTTGTTAGAACGCATTGCAGTGCATGATTTCTTTCTTTTGTAAAAAAGCATTAATTTAACTGTGGCAGCGCATGACAAAGCTTTGTGACGCATTGCCGTGCGTTGTGATACCTTGTGTTGTAATTAAATATACGCCTGTATCATTTTATCACAACACAAACACCAACACAGCTCAGAAACCATTTATAACATAAATCCCTTATTTACAGTTTAGCGCTCCTTCATAACCCCCTTTCCTCAGCTTGGTTGGTGTGGCAGTATTAAAGTAAAGTGTTAGGCCTCATTCAGGCGCCATTCACAATAGGGCGGAAGCGTTTCACCATGGTTTCCGCAGCATTTTTGGCTGTTTTTAGTTGCGCTTCAGCACTGAAACGCAATTAAAAACGCTCAAAAACGTGCTGATCAGCGCATTTCTATTAAAATGGGGGCAGGGGTTTCGTTGGGGGGGGCCCTTACAACATTTTGCTATGGGGCCCTGGGATTTCTAGTTACGCCCCTGACTATGGCCCAACTTTTTTGGCCTTAGTTCTCTTTTTGGTCACAAGAGGACATATACTCAGCATATGGCGAGCTACTGCCCACTATATGCTGACAACGCAGAGCCACGCTGCAGCCGGGATAGATCTCAACAATACTGTTGAGATCCACCCTGCCACCTGATTGACAGCTGGCTCTGCCTCACTAGAGCTAGAGCCAGCTGTGCCCGGCCCCTCCCCTGTCTAATCCTCCAGTCAGCGCTAGAGGATCGGAGGGGGGGAACGCATCCCTGCAGGGAGAGGATCCGGAAGGGGGGGGATCCCTGTGGGGGGTAGCAAAAATACACATATTAAGTAAAACATCATGTACAATATCCACCAAATCAACGCAAACCGGGAACAAATAAATCTAGTTGTATCTATGACTTAATAACGAGGTGTAAAGTCAGTGTGTTTTGCAAACATATAACACACAATATCTCCGAAAACAAAGCGGCACAAACGTTTATTTTTGCGGCACAAACCAGCACAAACGCGGCACAAACGAATGGTGTGTTTGTTTTTAAAATTCAGCAACATGGGGTGCAAAGTGGGCGGGGTTTTAGCAACTATAACGCACCATATCTCAGAAACCAAAGCGGCACAAACGTTTATTTTTGCGGCACAAGCCAGCACAAACACGGCACAAACGAATGGCGTGTTTGTTTTTTAAATTCAGCAACATGGGGTGCAAAGTGGGCGGTGTTACAGCAACCATAACTCACAATATCTCTGAAACCAAAGCGGCACAAACGTTTATTTTTGCGGCACAAACCAGCACAAACGCGGCACAAACGAATGGCGTCTTTGTTTTTAAAATTCAGCAACATGGGGTGCAAAGAGGGCGTGGCTTGCATTAAATTGAATGTTTAATATCTCAGAAACCGAACCGGCACAAACGCTGGTTTTTGCGGCACAAACCAGCACAAACGAATGGTATATTTTTATTCAGGTTTTACAAACATGGGGTGCCAACTTCACACAGCTTAGATCTGTTGGTTTCTCACTGCAGCTGTCAGGTATTGGGTTAAGAAGGGGTGGTATCCACAAGCGCGAATACTCATAGTCTTATAACATATAGAAGGCTGTTGGAATAATATTCCTTTTGACTATTCAGACTACAATTGTTTTAATAATGACTTAACCCTTCCAAAGACCTCAAAAGCACATGGCAGGAAAATCACTCAGATTTTCTCACTGCAATATGGAACGCGGGGAGAATTAGGCAAATCACTGGCAGCAGATTTGAAAAAGTGAACCTGTGCCCACATCAAGCACACTAAAGTATTTCAATATTCTGAACAAGCAGTAAAAGCACTTTACAACAAACCCTCATTCATTTCTGATTTTATAGGTATTGTGGATATATTATTTTCAAAGTTTACAGCGCAGGCACAGGTTTTTTTTTTTCCTGTGAGGACAGACCTTGACAGGCTAGCCAGCAGGTCTTTTTAATCAGTTAGAAACTAACGGAAACCTGACTTTAGAGTCTTTGTTGTGATCTTTGTAATAAATCACTTCACTTTAAACGCAGCTACAGGGGGCAGGGATGGCTTGTTTAAAAGCGCTGCTTGTTGAGAATATGTAAATAGTTTAATGTCCATGGTCTAGGCACTGGTGCACTTTAAAGAAACTCTTGCTAACACCTAGACCTACTTATACTAACCATTCTGGGTACCCTAGTGCTCTGTTCTCCATTCCGTCAAACCCTATGCAATCCCCATGTCGGATGGTTTCAGGGATTATAGTGGGTTAATGATGTTACCGCCCCCTTCCTCACATAAAAGTGTCCAGGTCTAGTGATTGGCCACTCAGGCACCACTGAATGCTGGAATGCTCCCCTATACTTTGTTGCACCAGATATCTGTGATAACTCCAACAGAGCAACAATATGTTAGCGAAGAACAAGAAGGTGAACATGCTAGGTCAAGGAATGGACTAGTAAGGTGTTGTCAGTTTTTTCTATTCAATGCAAAGTGACAGATTATCATTAACCATGACTTTCCTGTTGCATACAAGAAAAGCTGAGTATTGCATGTGATATTTTATTTACACTAACAGTTCATTTTCTAGGACAAGCTTTTGGTCAAAGCAAGAAAGGGTTTACAAAATACAAATTCTACCTGTTGTTTTTTGTTTTCTCAAAAGTCCTGATCCAGACATAGAATGAGTTACTATATACCAGTTATTAATGAATAGGAAGTGATCTACATCACTTCCTATTCATTCACAATTGTGTACATAGTAACTCATATTATATACACAAGTTATGAATTGACAGGAGCACTATAGAGGACACTTTGTTCTCGATCTCTTTTTCTGTTTTAAAAGGAAATATCAGGGACACCTGATATTTTACTGAAGCCCCCAGCAGTAAAGTTAAATATATATATCTATAGATATAGATATAGATAGATATAGATATATAGATATATATATCTATATCTATAGATATAGATATATATATCTATATATATATATATAATGAAAACAAATAAACAAAAATTAAATCTAAAAAATGTAAATGTTTTGAAAAAAAATTAAATAAAAAGTAAAATATTTTTAAAAGGTTAGAATTTTATTTTTTTCGGTTTCAAGCTGACATTTTTTTTAGTTTCGGTTTCAAAATGTCATTTCGGTGCACCTCTACTTCATACTTTTCAACACTCCATAGCAAACCACAGTTGTTAGCAAATTCAGTACATGCAAACTGTAGCCTGTACGCAAACCTGCATGCATCACAGTTACATTGTAAATACTGCAAGTAAACTATTTGGTTAAAGTGTTAAATATAACCTTTTGTAAATATGCCTTTTTGGGTGTTTTATCCTTGTTTTATCCTTTATTCCACCTGTATCAAACCACCGTCCACCTGGTATGGATCTATCTTCATTTTAATGTAGTGCCTGATACTGTCAAGAAGGATTGTTATTTAACGAGAAACTCCATTTGCATAAACCAGAGTATTGTGAAATTATGAAATTCAGTTACTTTGGTGACATTTTATTAGCACAGCCATTTCAGCTTGTTGTGGTTGCTAAATGGCATTTGTGTTCTTCATATAATTGCATAATAATGTTTACACTTGTTCCCTTCATGAGCATGTGTCTGCTTTTTGTGTTTTATCTATTTTAATATTATTAATTATAATTTAATTATTTCTTTTAAAGAAGAATTTGATGAACAAATAAACCTTGTAGTACAGGAGGATCGGGTGAACATAAATGGAATGATGGCAAAATAATATAAATCAAGTTATACTGAGAAAATGAAGAATGAAGTGGTAGTTTTTTTTTAAAGTGGTGAAAAATATGAAATCCAATGAAACAAAACAAACAGTATTGGTAGTGGGGATGCTACTTACCAGCATAGGAGAAAAAAAGGAAACACAAGAAGAAAGCAGAAGACTGCAGCATGGTGATTCTGAACAGAGAGGAAACAGAGTTGGTAAATTCAGAGGAGGAAGGGAAAATACAAGTAAGAAGAAAAATCACATCTAACCAAACACAGATTTATTAAGATGTTTGACAGTACAACAGTCCATGAATGGACAAAGGGCCGGACTGGCCATAGGGCAAACCGGGCACTTGCCTGGTGGGCCAGGCCGGACTGAACACAATCGATTTAAATTGTGTCCGGGCCGGTCCGCTATGCCTGATGGCCGGCTCTGAGCCGAGCCGACGTTACCGCACAAGCGGCCGCTAGAGGGCGCTGGTGGGGGAGGACTAAAAAACACCTCCTCACCCTGCTTTCTAGAGATGTCCAGTTCATGAACGAATCGTTCTTTTGAATCGATTCTATTCACTGAGCTGAGTGAGCTGATCCCTTTGCAGCAGCTCAGTGTGACGTATAGCAGAGACTCTAGCTAGCTAGCTTGTAATATGCCCCTAGAGTGAAAGCCAGGCTTCTGCCAGCCCCTCCCCTCCCAGCCCACACCTGCAACCAATCACATCCGAGTCACAGTACACAGAGTCTAATCATATGAGTTGGCTGAGTCTAAGAATCTAAAGAATCTACTAGTTAAAATAATCGAATGAGTTTACTTAGTTAGTAGACTAATTTGATTCTTTAACTCAGTAAACTCTTTTCGATTCTTTGAGTTAAAGGGGTTGATTTAATAACCTTATAAACATGCCACAAACAAGTATACACCTCTGTAGTGTGTTCCCTCCCAGCATGATCTATTGGTGGAATCTAGACACCTTTGTAGTGTGTACACACCCAGCAGGTGTGTTGTGCAAAGCCCTGCATGAATTGCAAGGTGATGTTGTGTAAATTAGCTCTACATTGTGTTGCTTGCGTTGATGAATGCAGGAATGTAAATGCATGAGCTAACCATTTTTGTCTAAACTGTGAAGCAGCATTATATATGCATCATGTGCATGATTTTTCCATATATGGCATTAGTGGAAATATGCTTTTAGAGACTTTTTGGTTGATAAATACGTTTTGCTGTGTAAAAATCACACGCAGCTAGTGCGTGCGTGTGTTTAGGTTAGTAAATCACCCCCAAAGAGTCCCCACCAGTAGAACAATACACGGAATCAATGAGCAGATCACCCCTGAATACTTGGATTTGTTTAGTTCTGACAACCATGACCTCTACAGTGGGGCAGATAATTGCACATTTACAAAAAAAATAAAAATATATGTTTTTTAAATAAACAGTTTTTGGTTAAGTTTGTATTTATTTTATTATTTTTCACTTAACATATTTTTTCTCTTAAATGTATTAATAACGTTAGGATCAATGTTCCCCAGGAGCTGCCTGACACCCTTCTCTGAATCAGAGTCCTCTATGAAGGTTCAGACAGCTCCTGAGCTTCGGTTCACTTGCTTGTCAGCCAACTCAGCAAGGGAATCGAAGATTCGATTCATGAATCGGTTCTTTTGAATGAACTGATTCAAATGAACTTCCGAACTTCCCATCTCTACTGCTTTCTCTGCTCTGTGGTCTCCCCGGAGCTTGCTGCAGGAAGCACTATCCGGGCCGAGATATTAGAATATGAATGGGACACGGTAATTTGCATATCAATGAATGACCCATTCATATGTAAATATCGCGGCTAATTCATATGCAAATAAATGCCGCCGGCCTGCCCCCCCTGCTGCTAGAGAAGAAAAAACTGCCTTATGACTGCAAGAACAAGGTAAGTTTAAGCATGTGTATGGTGTATACCTTTGTCACATTGGCGGTCATTGTGAATACTTTCGTTACATTGGCGGTCAGTGCAAATACTTTCGTTACATTGGCGGTCCTTGTGAACACTTTCGTTACATTGGCGGTCAGTGCGAATACTTTTGTTACATTGGTGGTCATTGTGAACAGTTTCGTTACATTGTCGGTCATTGTGAATACTTTAGTTACACTGGCGGTCATTGTGAACACTTTCGTTACATTGGTGGCCATTGTGAATACTTTTGTTTAGGGATGTGCCAATACTAGTATCGATATCGGTGCCGATACCGAGTATTTGGGTGAGTACTTGTACTCGCCCAAATGCTCCGATGCATAGCACGAGTACTTCCGGTATCAGGAAGCCGGGCAGTGCGTCATTACACGCTGCCCGGTTTCCTGATTGGCCGGGAAGCCGCTCCATACTGTCTCGTGACGCGTTGCCTGGCTTCCTGATCGGGAAGATGGCCAATCAGGAAGCCGGGCATCGAGTAATGACGCAGCGCCCGGAATTCTGATTGGCCGGGAAGCTGGCTTCATGCTTCCTCGTCATCTCATGATGGGTACCGAAGGAAAGCCGCGTTCTGGCTGGAGAGGCCCCGGGGGTGACAGGCTGGACAAGAGGGGACAGACTTTCTTTACACGTTGCCCGGCTTCCAGGCTAATCAGGAAGCCAGGTGGCGAGTCATTACACACCACCTGGCTTCCTGAATGGGACTTCCGTTACTCGGTAATTGGTATCGGCGAGTACAGTAAAAAAATTATCGGTACTCGGTACCAAAATACTGGTATCGGTGCATGCCTAATGTAAATGCCTGCACACCGCATGTAAAGATACGTGATATGTTTACATTCGGTTTGGAATCAATCACTCTCCCTGGACGCACCGATTGTGCATCCAGGGAGAGTATTTTTTAACCGCATGTAATCATATCACATATCATTACATGTGGTGTTACGGTGTGCAGGCGTTTACATGGAGCTGCTGTCACCTGATCATTAACTTGAATAGGTGACAGCGGCCGCTTGTAAACACCAGATTAGGGATTTCTGCTGCAGTAAAACGCAAGTTTCTGATGCAGGAATCCCTAATCGCACCTAAACCTACAGATGTGAATAGTATTATTGTGAGTGTGTATTAGTGTCTGTAGTACTTAAACTGGATATAGTTACATTTTATTTGAAATGTGGCAAGCGGCCCCCAAGAGAGAAAAACATTTGTTGAGTGGCCCCAGAGGCGGAGGGCGAAGACAGAGGAGGCAGGGAGCAGAGACACCGACAGAGGAGGCGTCGTGCTAGCTCCAGTCGGGTGGCGAAGATGACAAGGAGGCCGTGTCTGGCGTCGAGGATGAAGAGGCCATCCAGTCGGGTGCCGAGGACAAGGATGCCATGTTCCAAAGAGGTCAGGCCGTGCAAGATAAGAGGACTGTGCTGGCAGAGCCCAACATAGATTCTGCACAGCCCACCAAAGAGTCTCAGGTGTGTCGTGCAATACTCTTTGGTGGGCTCTGCAGGATCCATAGGGGGCTCTGCAGCCTGCAAAGCCCACCACAGATCCTGCAGAGCCCCCCTGAGATCGTGTAGGGTCTCAGGGGGCTCTGCAGGATCTGTGGTGCTTTCCTGGGTCTCAAGGAGGGCTTTACACCACTGGCGGGGACATCAGCACAGACACTGCACTGCCACGATCCTCTCTGCAGCTCATCAGGCGGAGAAAAGCTCTATCGAAGTTTTATCGAAAGTTCCAACTTTTGAGATCTCCAATGACCTGACTTCAGTAAGGGGCTCTGAGACCAGAAACTCCCCTCACCGCTGGCCTCTGCACTGTAAGTCACACCGCTGACCTCTGCATTCTGCATCACGCCCTGACCTCTGCATTGTAGATCACACCGCTGACCTCTGCATTGTAGATCACACCACTGAACTCTGAACTGTAGGTCACACCGTTGACCTCTGCACTCTGCATCACACCTCTGACCTCTTCACTGTAAATCACACCGCTGACAGCTGGCAGGTTGTTACGGACAAGCCGATTGGCTGAAGGTGCTGTCAATCATCTGACTGCACTCAGCTCACACACTGCACGCAAAGCTCCGTGCCGGATAGCTTTGCTTCGCTCTGACGGCTTCGCGTGCAGTGTGTCACGGCCTTTAATCACACCACTGAGCTCTGCACTCTGCATCAACTGCTGACTTTTGTGTCACACCGGTGACCTCTGCACTCTGCGTCACCCCGCTGAACTCTGCACAGTGCATCACAATGCTGCACTCTGCAGCAAACCACTGACCTCTGCACTATAAGTCACACCTCTGCCCTCTGCGTCACACTGCTGTACTCTGCATCACACAGCTGACATCTGTACTCTGCATTACACCACTGACCTCTGCGTTACAAGTGAGCTCTGGAACTCTGGAAATTTAATTTTTCAAATTGATTCAGTTGTGTTAGGTCCTGCGCAGCAGCCTTCTGGGAACAACGCGGCGCCTTCTTACAGGGCTTCCGCCGGCTGCCTATCTTCCCCTCCTGAGAACCTCTGGCCAAGATTTCAGGCTGGTACCCCGGAGCAGAGTGGCAGCACAGAGTATGTACCAAATTCATATACTATTATTCTGCATTGCTGTAAAATGTATGGCTCGGATTTTTAGTCCTCTATAGCTGATGGTATTCTGCATTAGAGTTTAAGCTCCTCTGTACAGAGGCTGATGTGACTTCTCTGTATAGCACTGTGGTATATGTCAGAGCTATATAAATGTATAATAATAGTATATTACTGTGGGGGGGGGGACATTAGAGTGTAAGCTCCTCTGTACAGAGACTGATGTGACTGGCTCAGTGTTATCTGTACAGCACTGCGGTATATGTCAGAGCTTTATAAATGTATAATAATAGTGTGTGACTGTGCAGGGGACATTAGAGTGTAAGCTACTTTAGTGCAGAGAATGCCAGGGGGGTTGGGGGGCCAGTGAGATCCGATTCTCTATAGCAATATGTCTGTGAAGGTTCTCATTCATCCAGGTTATGGTATAGCTGTAAAAAATAAGTCAAGGCGATTGGACTTTCTGTATTTCTCTTGAAGATGTTTCACTGGCCATCCAACCAGCTTTCTCAATTCAGAAATTTCTGAATTGAGAAAGCTGGTTGGATGACAAGTGAAACGTCTTCAAGAAAAATACAGATGTTCCTCACTTACCGACCTGTTTTGCGACCACTCGCACTTACGACGGACCGCCGATCGACCTCCGACCTTCCG